GGAACCGGATCTCAGTCATGCATGGATGGATTTTGTTCAGATTTAGTACAATGTGTTGTACATATGCAGGTGCATTTCGGTCATGATCTGCTTTGAATGTATATGTCACTCAAATATGAACGGAACGGGGACGTGTCATTGACAATGACTTGTTAATTTTGTTTTTAAAAAGCCACCATTTTGTTTTGGGGCTACAAGTCTTATCCATAGTTGGAAGAACACGTGAAACATCTTTAATATGTACCATTCTGTTTTCAGACTAGACTGTAAGACCAGGGTACTGTGAATAGTCACATATGCTTGATAATTACGTTGATATCTCTTATATGCACGTTCTACCCATAAAAACGGTTTCAATAACTACATAACTCTTGTCAAGTTGTTAAGTTTGTAGGATGAATTGTTTTATTAAAATCTTGTTTGACAAGTAGAGACGGAAATATTCACTGTGTTTACTCTTAGCAAATTTGATATTTAAGGGATATTTACAAGGTTTTAAAAAATAATTTTTTATGAGGGAGGGAAACAATACATTCTACTGATAAATATGTATATCTACTGGATTTTAATTTAGCATGTTTTGCTATCAGTAAAAATAAAATAGATACAGTACACGTTTGTCTCAAGGTCTGTCACATTGTATATTCCTAATTTGAATCAACTGAATCAATCAATAATTATGCATATTTTGAAATATTTCAAACAGAAATGAGTGTAGCGCCATCTTGTGGTCAAATCAAATGAAATTATAGCCAGCAATACAGGTAAATTTCACTCATTTGAGACGTGGTGTTTCCACTGTCTTTCTGTCCATGATCATGGCTAGGCCCCTATTGTTATTGTTACCTATTGTATTGTTTTTTATATAAATATCTAAAAATATATATATTTAAAACTCAAATTATAGACTTATTTACTTAATTTTATTTACTCATTTGTTTATATATCACATTTATTTGTATATTACTGCAAAATTTGTATTAGAAGCCGCGGCTTCTATTAAAATTGTAGAATGCAAGAAGGGGATGCCGCTTCTAATAGAGCATCTACACATATGAGAAATGGTGAAATTTTGATTCTTAATTATTCAAAAATAATGGGTGCAACTTCTATTAGGGATGCGGCATCTAATACAGATTTTACGGTATTATATGTATATATGTTTATAGTGAAATAAACTTCATTCATTCATTCATATAGATCAATGGACCTTAAGTAACATAAAATGTCAGATTTGCGAAGTGCATCGTTAGTCATTTTTCAAATGAAAAATAAATGAATGACACATTTGAAAATCGTCTTGACAATAAAACTACAATCGGATTTGAGTAGAATATAGTTATATTGGATATAAATGGTATGACTACAATCTTATGACCTTTAATCCTTTGAATGTCAAAGTCAACTTTCGTCACCTCACACAAAATATATCTGCATCATTACTATAAATACCTACAATGTGGCTGATATTTTTAGCAATAAAATGATGGCATTTGCAGGTGCAGGAGATTATTTTTTCTTGTGAATCACAGAAAATTCAAATCATTCACCCAGAAAAATCTAAAATGTGCAAATTAAGATTATTAAGCACATCTCTGTGGATTATTCTCAAAAAATTACCACATATAAAATGTAATAAGTTATTATTGAGATATGTACATTGAATCTTTGATTATAATCATGTAGATTAGATAATTTTTTTTATCATCATCTTTTACTTGTCTCCTGGTGGAGAATAGGGCCAGCATCTCTCTTTTTTTGATATATGAGGAAAAAACTAAACAAAGCACTGGCAGTCATGTATCAAAATTATCATTATGAAAATTCGAGTAACTACTACATATTAATGTGAATAAACAAACTAATCATATCAATGTGATATCACAATGCACACTTTGCACCAAAATGCATTGAAATCTAACAGGTGGTTTTTAATATACCCAATACTAGGAAAAAAAGAAAATTATGTAATTAATATGTAAACATTTTTATCCAAACTAGCAAAAAACAAGTGTGTTTGAATTTTTAGAATGGTCTTATTGTTGAACTAGCCAATTAATATCCATTAAGTAATTCATACGATATTAGTTTATTAATATTCACGGTTTAAACCAAAAACTCATCAGATCTCTGGATTATCACAGAGCATGTACGTACCAAGTGTCATTGATATCCAGTGAGTGGTTTGTGCGAAATACTTGGAGGAGTCTCACACCTACATGCATATCCATGCAAACAGGGTAAACTTAAAGACTCCCTCTTGTGCCTTTGGCGCACACAGTAGTGAAAAACAATTAGGTACAAACATATTATTTCATCAAGAAATAGTTTTACTATTTGTATGGGAATTCTCTTACCATATTGGCATCAATCACTTGTCCATTTCCTGTCCGAGATCTTACAAACAAGGCTAACACGATTCCCAGCACACACATTAATCCTCCGCCAGCAAAGTCTGCCATCAAGTTTAACGGAGCCATGGGATTTTCATTATACCTTCCCAGTCTTGATAACAATCCTACAGTCATACAATAATAATTAAAGCCCTTCTAAAATTGTCAATGATCGCCAAAAAATGAAAGGCAGTGCATGAAACCCCAGACATCCCCCCTCCCACAAGAAAGATAATTTGAATTTTATAAGGAATTGATGAGAATTGATGACACATTGTTTAGTTACATAAATCATTCCCTATACATTATATACAGCACGTTATATACATTCTCGGCAAGTTGATAAGATCCAAACACAACATTTTCTAGGCTTTCCAAATAGTTGTTATGATTAATGACCCAAGTTTTAACATATTACCTGTTGAAAACCAACATGGACAAAAAAAAACCTATCGAGGGGAAAAAAAGACATCAGAAGGTGATGTTAATACTCAATTTCAGTCAAAATGTTCTTGTTTGACTAAAAATGCAACCCTAAAAATTACACTTTGCAGTTGAAAGTGCCCTTATGATCCCCTTCCTCCCATAAAGTACATTTTCCATTTTATGGGGAACTGCTACAAATCAAGAACTCCCCCTAAGAGGCTGACCATTTATACAGGGTACTCTTGGATGGGCGAGACTAGAACTATTGTACATATGTTTTTAGCTAGATTTTTTATTCCCAATGTATCAATGTTTTCTGTAATTTTCCCCATTAATTCTTTTGCTTCAAATTTTGTCTGTGTAGATTATTTTAAACACTCCCCCAACCACCATCACCACCACATTTCTAATGGTCAACCCTAATAACACATAACATAGTGTTCCCTTATTTTGGCTCAGAGTAGAAAATATTACGATTTTTTTTAGTCTTCTTTCGTAAAACACCATACCTGACATTGCTAGATAATTGATATCATGTCCAGCCATCTGTGAATATTTTCCAGATTGACCAAATCCAGTTAATCTGGCATAGATTAACCCAGGATTATGCTTCAATAAAACCGTTGGTCCAAGTCCTAATTTCTCCATCACACCTAAAAAAAAACAAATTTCAATTTACAAAAAGTCTTTAACTATATCACATGATTTCACAAAGTCAATGCCAAAATCAAATATTTGACCTTGGTAAAACACACACGGTAGATTCCATTGGAGGCATCTCTAAAACATGTGTCCAATCAGAATTCTCCTTACAACTGACAATGGAAATAAAACACAATGGCGGATGTCAAATACCAAAGAGTATACACTTAAATAAACACAGTGGTGAATGGAATAAATGGATCTAAGCTGGTGAAGACATTAAAATGTAGGAGGTGCAGTTCAGATTCATAAAATACAGTATATAATTTCATTTTGAGCTGTGTTTTTATTGCATGAAATACAATACTTCACATTGATTGAGTAAAACTAACAGGACATGCATGGGGAATATAATCTTAATCTGAAATCTGAAAATAAAACCAGCTCTAATAATATAACCCAATGAAAAAACATAGTATATAAATACAACCTTTTTTTAATGAGGAAATGATTGCGTTATTCTAAATTAGTCAATTAAAAACAAAATATTATTAATTTCTCATAGTTTGCGAATAAAATAACATTGTTGCTAAGTGTTTATGTTTCTGTTGTTGCTATGCACTAAAATAGGAAAGTCAAATTTATGTAATAACTGGAAAGATCACGTCTGATTTTGTATAATCAGCTCCCCTCCCACCATATCAAAATTAAGTTCAGCTTTGATTACCTGTGGTGTAATAAAAGCGACATCCCCATCATCAGCAGATCAAGTGATGAAACTATTACTGAATACTGACTTTGACTCTATACCCTAGGGGTGTGTATGGCACATACTCAGTTGGGATCTTGAGTTAAAACCCACTGGCCATGATTAATTCTATAGTGAATGCAACTTTAGGGAACCATGATGGTCAAAAACCCGGGCCAAAGACACTTGTGTTCAACAGGGTCTGGTTGGTGCTGGGATAGCATATTAAATTGTGTAAAAGACATTGTTCACATGATATTTGAATGCATGCCACCGCATTTTACAGGATTAGTCAATCAAAGTCTACCAAGTCATGAAGTTGACAATATGTGCATAAATTATTTTGATAAGCTACGAAGTGAAAACTAGAAACTGATATCTACATTTCATATGGTCGCTACTTTAGTAAAGAATCCTTAGACATATTGGCTATCCATTTTAAGTAGAACGATGACATACAAAAATAGTTATGCAATCATTCTATATTTGTAAGCCACACACAGAAATCATCAAACAAGGACCATATACACCAAATATATGGCTTCATGTATTGAATGTAGTGATAACTTTGTGCATGACTTCCGCGCAAACCAATGGTGTCATCGGTTGCCAAGTCGTACGACAGTCATTTTGAACGTGATCAAGGTGACTGACTCGTAGTTGATTTTTGAGAGCTTTTCTCGCTGTCAATTTTGATTATTTTTTACTGACATTGATAGAACGTTTCATATTAGAGTGATTTTGTATATTTATGATGAAATCAGAAATATTAGTTGCATTTTAGCTGATATTTATACCCACTGAAAACGTAAACAACTCGTCAGCTCGTCATGAAAACAAAGCAGACAGCGCTGGGCATTTATGTTCACTTTTTCGAAAGTACTCACCAGCTATTATAGTTTAAACATTTCAGAATGGCCATTCCCGCGAAGAGACATGTATTTAGATGGATGGTAACGCATGACATTGATCTGCTGAAAGAGGTTCCGGCAAACAGGCCTGGGACCTCAGCAGAGTGGATGGAAATAGCGAAGAGCTCTGTCAAATGTCTGGGAACTAAATACTAATTCAGATTCCGGACGTGAAATGACATAACAAATTTTATGGGATAGTTATGGTTGTCCAATGAAATACAGGTTGACATGGTTCTGTTTCAGTTACGTTCCCGCCGTGGGTGCTTGTACTTAATCGTTTTCTGACACCCGAGAACAAAATGCAAACGAAATTAGAACAACACGTTATGTTCCCTCTATATACGCAAATCTTAAACTCTCTAGTTTCCTTCTGTACAGTCAGTTCCACTATTATTATTATTATTATGATATGCACCCCATTAATGCTACAATTAGGTACAATGCTAAATATATCTCATTACCAATTCAGATTTATACAAATATCGCACACAATTTCATGAGACAAATTTTCAACAAATTTTGCAAGTTAGTTTAAATAAAAAAAAATTCTTCATGAATACCATAAAATCCTGAAATTTCGAACATTTCTAGCAATGAAAATGAAATGGTTTACAATACCTACGCACGATGGCAGTAATATCTCATTACCCATTCAAATTTATGCAAACATTTGGAATACATAATAATTTCACAACAAATGAAATACCTGATTAAATGCATGCAGATGACTGACAATGTTTACATCAGCACCATATTCATTCAACCGATGATCAATAATCAATAATGATGAGATATTAGGGATGACGTCAAAAGATCGATGTCGGATAAAAAACTTAATTCCTTTAGTTTTTTTCCAAACACCCCTACCCCCCCCACTGAAACTTAATTGATAAATATTGGTCATGGCCTCAGACTACATTCACCATTAAATACAAATTGATAATCGAACAGTAGTATTGCATAGCAGTTGGTTGTCAGGTGGGTGTAAAAAGATTTTACAAATGCACCTCATTTGACGCACAGATTTACACTCGAACCAAACCATTTTTCTGTTTTTTTCCCTTTTCGGTTATTTCTGTCCATGATTGGATAGAAAAAAACGAACTTCATTAAAAAATAAAATCGTTTTTGTTGGATGGAAACTTTGAGGTCAAAACCCCCACCCCCAAACTAAAGGAAATAAGTTTTTTATCCGATATCGATCTTTTGACGTCGTCTCTTACTAGCATGATAGCTAGGCCATAGTAATGTATCTAAATACTGCATAGACTTTAGCATGATAGCTAGGCCATAGTAATGTATCTAAATACTGCATAGACTAGCATGATAGCTAGGCCATAGTAATGTATCTAAATACTGCATAGACTCTAGCATGATAGCTAGGCCATAGTAATGTATCTAAATACTGCATAGACTCTAGCATGATAGCTAGGCCATAGTAATGTACATGTATCTATATACTGCATAGACTCTAGCATGATAGCTAGGCCATAGTAATGTATCTAAATACTGCATAGACTCTAGCATGATAGCTAGGCCATAGTAATGTATCTAAATACTGCATAGACTCTAGCATGATAGCTAGGCCATAGTAATGTATCTAAATACTGCATAGACTCTAGCATGATAGCTAGGCCATAGTAATGTATCTAAATACTGCATAGACTCTAGCATGATAGCTAGGCCATAGTAATGTATCTAAATACTGCATAGACTCTAGCATGATAGCTAGGCCATAGTAATGTATCTAAATACTGCATAGACTCTAGCATGATAGCTAGGCCATAGTAATGTATCTAAATACTGCATAGACTTTAGCATGATAGCTAGGCCATAGTAATGTATCTAAATACTGCATAGACTCTAGCATGATAGCTAGGCCATAGTAATGTATCTAAATACTGCATAGACTCTAGTTTGAATATGTTCACTTTAACCTTTTCACTAACAGACTTTCTTGCCCAAATTTTTCTAGACTTTTTTTTTATATAATCTTTAATATTTCTGGCAATGAACCCGAATTTTGGAACCAACAGACAAAATTTTAGTCAATTGTCAGTTTTTACTCATCAAAATTAAAAAATTTGCTATTTCTGTCTCAACCTTCTGATGGAAAGTACAGACTATAGACAGGACTATTTTGTGAAATTGTGATGAAAAATGGAACCCGTGGTGAAAAAAACGAAAACAGAACAGTAACTGCATGATTTGACAGTGATATTAAAATATTTTACCAAGATTTAATAATACAGGAAATGTAGGCACATACGTCTATGTATATATTGTTTCCATGGTATTATTACCAGAATAAACTGATATCTCCCTAATAGTTTTTATTGCATCATTGCTTTTTATCCGTAGCAAAGTTGCCAGTGGTGTTACTTATGACTTCAGCATTTGATATCCAAACTACTAGTAGTTGACGCCTGGACACAACCATTTTCACAAGGGGGTGTTTGTTGTAAAACAATTTAAAAATAAAATCATATACAATACACATTTTCCATTTTCCCCATGTTACCATTATGTCATGTTGAGAAAGAAAATCCACA